ATCATCAGAAGGTCAAAATGTCAAATGTTGCTTTGACGCCTTGTTCATTTCCTTGTGATAAATACAAAAACCTAAAGTCTTAATAACACTTTAATATCAGATATCAGAAACCCTTCACATAATATTTTACCCATGATGTACTTGACACTGACAGTAAAGGAAACTGTATATGTCGTTGACCAGGGTTCTTTACTAGCTCTTCTTTGGGAGAAGAAGGAGCATTTTCTATTTATTCGTAGCATTTCCACTGCAAGTCTGGGGATACAAACTGTCAATCCTAAGCCTTCTTCCCTACGCTCCAGGGTACTTTAAATCCACTCTACATTTGGGCTGGAGTTAATATCTTAAAACGTTTTTGCTCTGGACCAGTGTGGTTTAAATTCAATTCTCTGCAGCAGAAGTCCCATTATTAAAGCTGGACTGAACCATATATCTTTGGCGTCATTGGTTAAATATTCCTTAATAACCTTTCAGCATATTGTAATTTAAGTGGTCTGAGAGAGGGAGCATATCTATTTAGCATTTTGCAAGATGGTTTGCAGGAGGTACATCTTGAAAAAACAATAATTTTTGTTTGCCCAATAACGCAACAAACACACTGCCTCCACAAGCCTTAAGTATTTTTTTTTTTAGTGGGTTTAAATCTACCAAGTTCAATCAAATGTATACTGGTCCAATGCTATCAAACACCTCTTGGCACCTCATAATTTCACCATTTTATAATTCGACTCAATCTGAACTCTTAAAATGTACCAATCACTCATCTTTCCTCAAACCCACCTTTGTCTGACGTGTGTGTGTGTGTGTGTGTGTGTGTGTGTGTGTGTGTGTGTGTGTGTGTGTGTGTGTGTGTGTGTGTGTGTGTGTGTGTGTGTGTGTGTGTGTGTGTGTGTGTGTGTGTGTGTGTGTGTGTGTGTGTGTGTGTGTGTGTGTGTGTGTGTGTGTGTGTGTGTGTGTGTGTGTGTGTGTGTGTGTGTGTGTGTGTGTGTGTGTGTGTGTGTGTGTGTGTGTGTGTGTGTGTGTGTGTGTGTGTGTGTGTGTGTGTGTGTGTGTGTGTGTGTGTGTGTGTGTGTCCTTCATAAGAGTTTGATGGTAATGAGAATTCATCTTGTGGATGTTAAAGCTGCCTACCAGCTGAAGGAATTAGCATCAGATTCAGCATCAGCCACACAGAGGGCACTGATCTGAATGAAAGCTCTTATTATCTTAAGAATTATTGATGTTCTCCTACTGGGATCACATCCTCTCTCCATTGTATCCCTCCTTCATGATATCACCTATTTTTCTTCCTACATGCCTTATAAGCTTCTGCAGAAAAAAACGAATGAAACTGAGAAATTACAAACCAGTGCCAGAGTAAAACTGCAGCCAAAAACCAATGACGGCATCATTTTGTGTGTGTGTTCATTTGTGTGTGTGAGCAAATGTCTGAAGCGAAACTCTTTTAGTGTTATTAATATTAATTATGTGTGCTGTCAAGGATTGAAAGCAACAATTCATTGCTCACATTCATTGTATTAAGTGCCTCATGATTTATTAATGGGTATGTTTAAGGTTAGAGAAAAGAAAAGGGAGGAAATTAAGAGAAGGGCAAACTATAAATGGATTTCTCCCCTAAAGACAAAAGTCTATTAAAGTCATTTGTGAGCTCATTGAAATGTGGATTATTTGGCCTTTTTAGGCTTCATTCATTAGATGGTGAAACTGTTGGGTATAGCTCTAACTGTCATGTTGATCCTGAATATTTTCCCTTCATTTATCTGGTTACATTGATACCACATTTCTCGTTTTATCCTGCAACAAAGGCTCTTAGCCACCATACATACACACTTTAATATATATATATATTCCCACATAAGATGACCTTAGTCTCTCCCGCTGTCACTGCTTCTTTTTGTCTCTCTCATCTGTATGCATTGCATGTCTCTGCTTATCTGTTTACTGCCTCTGTAAAGCTCGAGGAGTCCATTCTCCCTCCCTGTTTAAAATGTCCTCTCTCAGTACACTGCGTATCCTACCGTCTTTCTGTCTTTCACACACCATCTGTCTGTCTCCGTTTCTCCTAAACATCTCTCACACCAGTTGGTCTCCTGCCTCAACCCCTCACCCCCTCCCAAAATCCCCACACCCTCCTCCTTATAGGACTTGGCATGTCGCTGCATATCTATATTATTGCACCTTGAAGAATGTTGTCTGTATGTGTGTGTATGTGTGCGCGTGCTAACATGTTCTATTTAATCGAGGCTCCCTGTTGGCACATCGGACAAATTGATCAGTTGGTTTGCCAGCTGTCCTGGCAGTCTCCTTCTGTCTCTCTATTTCTCAAACCATCCCCCCTTTCTCACGTCCTGTTTAACTTGTATACCTTGGCAATCAAAAGTGAAAGAAGAAAAAGTCTTGTAATGATTGGAGTGGTCTCCCTTACAAGCATCTTCTTCTTTTGTTCTGCCGTTGGATGCATTTTGGAGATTCTTACATTCTCCCATCGGCAGGTATCTGCTGGCCCATTTTGACTGACGTGACCTTCCCTGGCATCGGCTGCTGGCGTGCTTTCCCGTGATCCCATGCTGTGGAGAATGATGGGCAGCGCGCAAAGCCAGCTCTTTTTGTTATCTGAGCCGCACATATTGTCTTGATACACCCCTATCATTAGACACACATTTCCAAGGTGGGCTGGCTAAATGTGTATCCACGCTGAATTGAAGAGATAAGTCACATCAGCCAGACACCACTATGGCTAGCTTGCTTTTAAGCATGATAGGTAGAGAATGCAAAACCCATTTCTGTTCTCATAGATCAATGCATAATTTGGCCTTGATTCGGCTGCTATTCACGCTTGATGTCCTTGGCGTGGTGAGGGATGGATAGTGGCAGCACGGTCAGGAACAAAGAGAGTCTACTCCAGTGCTGCCTGACAAGGAGTGTGTGTGTGTGTGTGTGTGTGTTTCTGTTATGTCCCCATGCTTGGCTGTGCTGTGAGCTGAAAGCAAGAGGCTTTTCTCTGTGTAATGACAGACATTAGAAAGTCGATTACAAGGTTTTTACAGCCTGCAACTCACAGGGAAACACACATGTACACAGGCGCAGTAAAACACACTCACTTACTCTAGTCTGAGCCAGGAGAGGCTGACGAGGCCTGCTAATCGATATGTGATGGCAGGCCTTTCATTCGCGTTTGGAGTAAAAGTGGCTGAGTTAAAGAGGTGGTATAACAGACACTCCTTTCAGTTTTCGAGCTTGTGTCTTGATGAGTGTTCATAGGCCAAAAATAATTTAGGGACAGCAGCTTTGTGTTGTCTTTGCACCTGCTGTGTGTACCTCAACTTGGCTGTCTCGCAGACAGGGCCATCGTCTTCTTTCTGCATAATTGTTTTCTAGTGTGACACAGTGCCAGTGGAGGGAGAGGAGCTCTAGCATCTTTACCCACACAACTCACAAGACCTCTACATCTGTGCGCATACCTTACCTCCTACCTATCACTATTTCAAATATTGCTGTTGCTCTCTTGAAGGGCTGGTTGCAGAAGTAGCTCACATTGCTAACATCAGCTAATAACTTATGCGTCTTAGTTGGCTAAGTTGCTGACATTAGCCAGTCAGTAGGGACAACGAATTGGTATTGATTGTTTTAATTGTTTGTCTCGACTTCATTAAACAATCTCATCCTTATTTTTGGTAAGCTTCCAAAAGCGAGAGGGCTCTCTAGAGTGTCCTCACACAGGGAAAAAAAAAATGGATTGTGTGTTTTAGGAGTCTTCAGCACTGCCTCATCTATCATGTTCTCGTAACACAACACTTCATTGTGCCTTGTCACCTCATAAACCAGCCAATTGTCACTTTGTGGACAACAAAATTCATTGTAAACTTGCTTAACATGATGTGTTAACTGTACACTGTCCAATGGAGTACTATTGTTGAGTGGATACAGGCTCTATATGAGCTGTGAGTGCCTTTTTTAATATCAGTTGGGTTAATGTTTGGAAAAGGGAGCTGTTTGGAGCATAATAGAGAGTTGAATTCAGGAAATAGAAAGAGATGGGCAATGTGCGGAGGAAGGTAGAATGCAAAGCAGAGATGAAAAATAAACTGATCGGGGGTAAACGGATATTTAGGGAGAATATCAAGACGGAAAAAGGAAAGAAAGAAAGTGGAAGATTGAGCATACCAGAGCTTATAATGTAGATCTGCTGTTTAGTATACAGTCTAAGAAAGAAGAACAAAGTATTGAGCGGTAGCTGGCTGCCTGATTTCACACCCATTACAAAGGCACGGCAAGTGGAAAATGAAACTGCATAGAATCATAGTGTAAAATAACCTGCCCGTTGTCACACATGCATTGATAACCTACTGTGATAGGGTTTGTATTCTGGTGTGATGCTCGTGTAAGGTCATGACTGCTTATCACTATCGCCCGCATTCCCACCTTTTCGTCTTGCAATGGCTGTAGAGGGAGACATTTTTTTAAAAGCTAGCAAATAAAGTTGGAAATGCGGAAAACAAAATGAAGTTAAGGGGGTTTTGCAGTTGCGTGCCTGCGCATTGGTTTGGCTTGTTTTCCTTTGCTGGTTCAATCTAGTAGCAGGCTTTGATGCGATGTTCCAGGGCCACTGATCATCGAATTGTGTTTGTCAGACGGATTTAGCCGATCTCTCTACTTTACCCCTCTAATCATATATTGTATCTCTTCTCTACTTGCCTCTAAACTCAGTTGCTTTCAATGTTTTCTCTCCATTCATTCCTATTTCTCTCTCTCACAAATTGAAAGCGAGATAAAACAACTTTTTCTTTTGCCATTAAAACACTGCTGGAGTTCCGTCGTAAAGAAGTGAAAGTTATATAACAAGTATTTGTTATTAGTCTCTCTGGAGAATATCTCGGTTTCAAATTCCTTCTACACAACACAGTGGGAATTGCGTTCATGCTGTTAAAATGTGACTCTCAATGTGATATCCATTTATCTGACATATCTAATGAATTATATCTCTGTGTGTTTTCTTCCAGCGTGTCCCCATGGATCCTACAAGATGTCCTCCAGGCAGCAGGAGTGTTTCCCCTGCCCGGCCAACAGCAAGGCAGAGGAGGAAGGATCGGTGGAGTGTGTGTGTGAGGAGGACCACTTCCGAACCCCGCTGGACACACCCTCAGCCGCCTGCACAAGTAATACGATTATTTTTGTTTGTGTGTATCAGCGGCGAACCGTGTCTATCACAACTGGACCTTCTGTAGACACACACACACACCCCCCGCCGCCGCCGCCCCCCACTGTTATAATGTCCGTCTTTTCACTGAATTGTCGTCTTGAAAAGGGTACTGACAACAATTCCGCAACAACATCATCTTCACCTGTTGCCATTTCAACGTTAAAAACAAGAAAACGCTACGTCGCATTTATCTAGATCCTCTGTCTCGAGCCAGTGAACTAACGGGCCTTCTAGAATACCCTGGAACCGAGGGAAACTCTGAAAGAATACGCCCATTGGCTACAAACAATATATGATTGGTTGATCAAACTGTCAATCCAAACGTACGCTCTCATTCAGTGTAAGAGCCGGGGCATTCTATCAAGGATATAGAATACTCTTGGTTTCTACCCAGAGATCCAGAAAAATATCTGATTGGTTGCATTTTTTTTCGAACACAAAACCACTCGAATGCGTAGTGCATGGACCGAGAAAGACAAACAACAAATAAACACTGTAATATTACAGATCAACAACACAGATACGATTCTCATTTATTCATTTTATTTACATTTTATAACATTTTATTCATATAATTAAATAGATGTTTTTGTTTGATTTATCTGAGTGTTTCAGGGTATTCTCTGAATACCTTGAAGGCCCTGACGGTTCGCCACTGGTGTGTATGTAGACCTTACTTCCACACCACATCACTCACACACTGTATCCTTTCCTTTTTGCATTAAGTGAGCAATTTCATGTTTGTGAGCCAATCATTATCACTCTCCTGCCCTTGCTGTTTGCCTCTTTATCCTTTAAAGACCACTTTTACCCGTCCTTCACCCCAAATCCTTTCATCCACCTCCCTTTTCTTTTATCTCATCACCTATTCTCCATCTGACCTGCGCCCCTTTCCCCAGTCTCTGTCTCACCATATATCCTCATCCTCCCATCCCCAGCTCCTCCTCATCACCCCATTTCCATGTCTCATCTCCCCCAACCTTCACCTCTCCTTCACCTCCTCTAGAATTGAATTCCTTTCATGTAGAAAAATCCATCCAAAAACATGTCAGATGTTTCTTTTAATCATCCCAGGAGTCTGTCTCACAGCTAGAGACGTGTCTTGTGCTGCTTTTCTGATTATAAAGTTGTGAGTTTTTCAAAGAGGTTTTTTTTTAAGATCAAAGAACATGTATCTTTGAACAACCATCATTTTTTTCCCTTCATATTGCTCATTTAAAGTGTTAGTTAAACACTACATTTGCTGTCTTGTTTGAGAAAAAGATCAAAAGAAGGGATATATTTTGAGGGATTCATTTTATTTATTAGACTTTGTAAATGTTAAGGATGTCAGTTAAATCCAATCCTTGTTGTTCTAAAAGTGAGAGAAAGGATCCTTTTAATAGTACACATTATCTTTTGTCTAAAGATGGGCTTGTCCCCCTCCCCACCTGCGCCTAATGATATCCACACATCATGTCTTTATCCACTTCATACAGTTTTCCTGCCTTTTAACCTTTATCCCTTTGTACCCCCCACCCATCTTTCATCCCGTATACAGTCTCCCCTAACATATGTATTCCTCCAGAGAGCCCATCAACTCCACTTCCCCATCTTTTAACTTGACCTTGAACATTCTCTCCACCTTTTGTCCCGACATTACAGATCCATTTTCTGCTAAACATCCATTATCTACCTCTATACCGGACCACACCATTTTTTTCCTACCCCCCTCCACTTTTCCCTTTTCGACCCCTGATCAACATTCCACTGCTTTCTTTATGTCTTTCTCCTTATCTTGGCCACTCATCATTCCTCTTTCTACTAACTGCCTCTTCACATTTCTCTTCCTCTTCATCGGCTTTGTCCATGCGCGTTATCACCCCTCATTTCTTTCCTCTGTCAAACTGAAATCTCATCCCTTTATCCTCGAGGGACAAATCCCATGATCTGATCCCCACTGTCTACGCATTATCCATTCATCCCTCACATATTACCTTTTTCTCACCTCTTCTCACATACCGATACCCTTCTCCTCCAATAAAGGTGCACTACAAGGCCAATAAGACAAAGACCATACAGGGAAGCTCTATTGATTTCTACACAGCGTATTGATATGGCTTAGTAATTAGATGGAGGAATAATGGGCTCTATGGACCGTGAGTGCTCAGGACAGTAAAACCCGTGGGGTCACAAGGTCTGTGCGTGCATGTTTGTGTACGTTCACTTGTGTGTACATGCGTGTGTGTGTGGTCTTACGAGCTTTTATGGTAACGGCGATGGAGGGGTGTGATTACAATATTGATCGCTGAGCTCTCTGATCCCGGTGCGATAACATTTATAGCAGCCTAATGACCACCTTAATTACACTATTGATTCGGTAATTATGATCTTCCCCAGATTCGGCTAATCCACCGCATGGTACCCAGGAGAAGGAGAGAGATAAGAGACAGCCGGATGAATCTAGAACTATAGGAATAAAAGAAAAAAGTAGATTTAGCCAGATTAATGAAGTTTGATATGTATACCTTATCTTAGCAATTACATAAGTAGTTCATTTACCCTATCCCTTTGCCATCCATGCCTACAATAGCCTACTTTGTTTAAAACAGTAAGAAGTCACTGCTGTCTTTTTAAAATGATTAGCTCTTTATTCCTTTACTAATCCTGTAATATATTCAGAAATATTGCATAACAGAACATTTAAATATGTGGTAGTGGCATTGAAGAGTTATTCTAACAGTGGAAAGAAATGCCCCACTTGGGATACAGAAATATTTCTTTGTATTCATGTTTGGCAGAGTGGAACTGCCGCTGACAGGAATGTAATGGTAATGATTGTAGCATAATAACTATAACAACAAAAAAATGTTCAAGTAATGCATGTTCTTTGTCAATGTGCAAGTCTGAACATTGATTTTTGAAACCAACATGTTACAATAAGCTATCGACAAGTCAAAACACAATGTGAAAGGGTACTCAGAGCGGACAACTCTGTGGTAGCAGCCTGTCAATCTCAAAGTAACCAAGCCCAAAAACAGACACTGCTTCATTGTCTTTTTTACCTTTTAACCTTTTTTACCTTTACCTTATTTATAACATATGAAAAATATATATATATCATGCTGTGTTGAAGAAGTCTTTAAACTTCATCTTGAGAGACTGATAACTTACAATCATGTTTAGAATGTGAACTGAAGTAATAAAATAAAGAGAGAAGTGAGGTCATTTTCTCATAGACTTCTACCTACCTGGTCTTGTTATTTCGACCCGAGGAGTCGCCTCCTGCTGGATATCAGAGAGAATGCAAGTTTAATGGATTTTCGCATTGCGTCACTTTTCCTACCTGAGATTGCCGCCCTGAGCTACAGCCCCAGACTGTACGCCAATTTGACATAGCGGCCAATAGTAACGACTTTAGTGACCGTAACATGATGCCATTTGGCCATAGACTAAGATATGGAAATGTTTTTGGATGTAAATTATACCCTTGAAAAGCCCTCTAGAAGTAGTGCTACTGAAACTAGAAGTTGAATTACATCCTAAAACTATTTTGTAACTTTATTATTATAATTATAATAGTATTTTTCCTTTAAATGCCCTTCCTTAGTTGATACCTTATTTGTACTGTCCCTCATGGACAATGGAGTCCAATAGTGGATTCATATCATGAGTCACGGAAATCTTCAACCTTTATTTGCTTCTTGCTCAGGGAAATGCATACATCTAGGCTCTTTATAGACTTTATTGGAAATATTGTGAATACAACATCAAGATTTCATTTTCTTAGTTTTGATTCATTATGTTGGAGCAGCATTCGACAGGGAGTCAATGAGTCGTAAGTAGACAGGGGAGGGGGGTACAGAGACAGATGGAGAGTTGAGAGAAACCAAGAGAGCTGTGTAGGTAAGGTTTTAAATTACTCATTTTGAGGATGATGAGAGAAAAAAGGGAAACTTCAAGAGAAAAAAAGCGTGCAAGGCCCAGAAAGAACAAAACTACATAGAGATGTGAATGAAAGGCCCAGCTGTGTCTACGTCAAATGTGTGTGTGTTCACACGCTGACTGCTCTCCGGGCTTATGCAACTCTGTGCTCCATGTGTGTGTGTGAGCTGTGGTGTGTGACCCCACGCCCAGAGCTGCACACCGTCACTTATTCATTACACAGCACATGCACACGCATACAGGAACACATAAAGAATTCATGGCCTTTAATGGACCTTAGCGGACCTATTCAGCATGCATGTGTCCGGACCTGGAAGAAAAGGCACAGGACAGTCAGGACACTGACTTAGTGATGAGATGAAGTAGTTTAGCCTCACTTTTTTCAGCCCTTTTTAATACTGGCTGTATATTAAAATTGTAGATTTTTTTTGTCACATGTGGTAGTTGAATTTAAAGCAAAGTCTGGTTTCATTGGCCTTGATAACTCCGGTATAATCCAGTAACACACTTGTATTGTTCTGTTTTGTCTTTCGTGATGCATGTGGCATATCACAACCCTCCTATCAAATTACATAAATGTTCCAGGAGAGTTAAATACCTTCGTCATGGTACCTCACCTTTATTTTCTTCTGGTGAGTGAAGGATTTGTTCCACGCAGCACAGTCAATGTCACTAGATTATGGGAAAATGTGGTATCCATGCAGATGTTTACACAAAGGGTAATGTCATTGTAGGTCATCCAAACACATGAACTGCGTCTTAGTGCTTAAGCTTTTCTCTTTCTGCATCATCAACAATCCCTCTTTGATCCAAATCCAAGATTTAAGTAATTGAGTATTGTAGCAACAACTGCACATGTTCAATTGCCTTTACCCACGAGGGTCAAATTATTTTCATCAAACCAATTTCATCATATCCTGGATGAAAACTTATTGTCACATGATGTGCAAACTGAGCCAATGATCATAATACCCAATGCACTCAGTCCAACAGTCATGTGAAAATGTTCCTGCTTCAGCAAAAATGATGTTTGAGCATTCTCTTTTCATGCAGGTAACTATGTTTCATGTAAACATGTTATTGCTTTCATTTACCATATTATCAAGTCCATTTCCATAAATGCCCATCCCCACATTTACATTTTCTGAGATCACAATAAGTGGATAACAAGAAGAAGTCTTTGAGTGCAATATTTCAGAGCACAGAATACTGCTGCTATGATCGCTCCGGGGTGTATAATAGGCATGCCATGATTAAATAAAATGTAAAATCCTCTTCAATTGCTGCATAACAAATTCAGAAGCGAGGACATGTTTGATTCATTATTGATGTTTTTAAAAGAGAGAATACAGCAGAGGTGGGAAGTAGTGGAATACAAATACTTTGTTACTGTACTTAAGTACATTTTTCTGGTATCAGTACTTTTCTCCACTACTTATTTTTCTGACGACTTTTTACTTTGACTTCTTACATTTTTAACACAAATACCTGTACTTTCTACTTCTTACATTTTCATAACAGGTTCGTTACTTTAGTTTTAATCTGTGTTTGGTGGCGTGATCATTATTATTTAGTCATTGCGTGCCTATTGATTTGAACACGATCCGTGTATCCATCATTTCCTGGTCTTCTCTAAAGAGGGACCAATGAAAACTTTGTCATGTTGCCGTTGTTCAGCATGGAAACATTCATTAGCTAACAATGACATCATTGTTCTATTGATATAAAGGGAGGTCAGTTACTCTATAAAACAGTTGGGTACTTTTTTACTTAAGTACATTTCGAAGCCCATACTTCTTTACTTGTACTTGAGTAAAGAAGTTTAGTCAGTACTTTTATTTTTACCAGAGTAATTTTAAACACGAGTATCTGTACTTCTACTTGAGTAAAGGATATGTGTACTTTTGCCCTCTCTGGAATACAGTGCCCTCTCTGTCTCTTTGTGCCTTTTTTTGTTTTCAAAAAATGGCTACGGGGATTGTTGTAATAAACCAAAATGCAATTGTCTTACTCTCCAGGGCCCCCCTCCCCGCCTAGAGACTTGGTGTACACCCTGAAGCAGTCCACACTGATCTTAGAGTGGGCCGCACCCTCGGACACAGGCGGCAGGGTGGACCTGACCTACAGCGTGGGGTGCCGGCGATGCGTTGGGAGGCAGTGTGAGCCGTGTGGGACGAGTGTGGGCTTCGTCCCTCAGCAGTTGGGGCTGACGGAGAGGACGGTGACCCTGGTCAATCTCCTCCCCAACACCAACTACACCTTCACTGTCGAAGCCTTGAACGGAGTGTCAGAGCTGCTGCCCAACAAGCGCTTCTACACCCAGGTCAACGTGTCCACAAGCCTGCCAGGTAAGTCCCACTTTGACCTTTAAAAACAACCACACACGCTGCACACATTCACTCACATGACAGCATGCGCAAGGAAAGGGCATTTTACATTTACAAGCCTGCACACTCAGGAAAACAGCTGAGCAAGAATGAGGTCACACTGCATTTCCAAAAGAAAAGATGAAGAGGATGTACTTAGGACAAACCCAACATACTTGGAAAGCTCAGCTCTAAATGAATTTTGAATTAGCTTGCACTGCATGTGTCTCTTAATTTGAATATCTTTTACTTAGGCCACATTTTAAGAAAGTCCACAGTGATCTTGCTTATTTGTCAGTATTTGTTTTTCAGGAGATTAAGATGCAACAGTGGTGTTTTGCTTTGTGCTGATGTTTAAAACCCTGGCTGTGGGGAAAAGATTATCTTCGCTCTGGGTTTGTTCTTTACATAATGTAATCTCTTGTGATCCGTTTACTACAAGACAGCCTCACACGATTAATCTATTGCCTTAGCTTTGTGAAAAAGCACCTCTGACGTTAAGGTTTCATAAAGGTATATTCATTTGTCTTAACGTTGGAGGACAGAGTTGCCAATTCAGCATGGGTTGGCTGCTTATTCATACAAACAGCCACAACGTTCATGCATACACAATCACAGATGTAGAAACATGGGCACTCTTGCATGTGCTGTGTAAGTCTATGTTCATAAATAGATGTATGCACACTCAGACACACAGTGACCTTTGATTACGCTTGTAATTTATGTTAACACTCCACATGCATGCATCAACATAAAGTTCTGTAAACACATGAGGCTTTATTTAACCGAATGTGCATCCAGTAGACTGATTCTTATTTGTGTTTAGCAAGACAGACTCTTTCCCCATACTGTGCCAGTCATTGCAGACGGAGCACAAAAGTCTCGCCTGGTGGAGGTGATCTCATTTTCATCAGCAGAAGCCTTCAGCAGGCCATTAGCCAGAGGCTTGAAAAGCACTTTGCCAAGTAGCCCTGTCACCCTGCTCTGCAACAGCACTATTTGGAGGACTTCAAGTGTGAAAAGAACAACCACACACACACACACAAACACATTCTGGCTTGAATCTAACATACAGTTACCTGTCATACCTATTATGCATACTGTTTTTTGCAAAACTGTTTGCAAATCCTTCATTTGCAAATGCAGTTGGTATAAGACAGGTAGGGTACAATGAAGTAAATGTCATATGAGGGCAGAGGGACTGCAAAGTGCTGCGCGAGGAAGCAGGTGATGGAGAAACAATGAGAAAGTGTGAATGGCAGGAGTGTTTGTGCCACTGATTGGAAATTGGTTTAGAGAAATGAGCTGCATAATGAATGGAGAGCTGTTAGTCATATGTGAGTGCTGCGATGCTAGCAGCATGCAGTACGGCTTTCTGTTCAATTTCTACTGAGCTGTAACAGTTTGTAATGATGTACTCCGACTTTATTAATTTAAGGGAGTAAGACGTCTAAAAACAAGCATTGGGTCTTTTATATGTTGTGGTTCATGACTTAGATCAAGATGGTGGCTTTAAAGGGATTGTTGCTGGTATTTATAATGAAAGTCTGTGCTGCTTAGTGGCCCAGAACTCTTGTTTGCCAACTGTAAATATTATGTAAGAGTAACATCTGGACAGCCGGACTCCCTTAGGGTGAGGCAGAAGCTAAAGGAAGGCTTTATGTGTTTGTAGCGCAAGTAGCCAGAAAAACAAAGACAAACGCAATAAGTTGATTTAGCTAGCCTTTAGCCGATTTGTGCCTTTTTACAAACACAGAATATCTGTGAATATGACACAGAATATCAGTCATCTTATAAAAGTTGCATTTTTGTCAATACATGTTGTGTTCGTACTGTAGTCTAGCCACTATAAAAAATGTACTTTTTGGAAAGCTCACATTTTAAAGGCAAGTGTCTGCACTAGAGTTTTGAGTACAGCACCACATTAACCGGTAATCAACTCACAACCAACTGAATGATTTACATTCAATTACTGTAAAAGATGATCAAAGTTTCAAGACAATATTCAAACAAAGTGCTCACCTTTTTGGACGATAAAGTCCAGTTGAAAACTGCAGAGATGCCCCACATGTGGGAAATGGAGAGTGTAGATAAGAACCCCTGCAGATTTCAGTTGGAGACCCTGTTCATTGGCGAAGCACATTACAGCACTCAGTTTGACTTCAAACCCATCATTTAAAATGTTCCAATTTAACTTGTGAAATCAAACAAACTTTTTAATACTTAAAATGTAGATAACTCTATGGCAAACAATGTTAAGTTTTCGTTTTGACAGTGTATAAGTCTTTTTGAGTGCACCAACTAGGAGAAACAAAAATGCTTTAGACAATTGTTAACAAGAGTATGTTGTGTCTGCTCATAGTTGACCCTTTATCTGACATCAGTTGCAATATGATAGCCTTGCTGAAGCTAACATGGCTAACAAGCTCCAGCTGTCTAAAGGGATTTAGCTATAGCTGAAAACACCAAGCTCCAAGGTTAGGGACATTATATCAGAAAAGGACAAACCTGTGGTGATTATTTTTCCCGTCCCCAGAGTTCTTTCAACCTTTCTCCCTTTTATCTCCCCTTCTCTGTCTGTCTGTCTTGTCAGCAGTTGCTATGGCGCTGATTTGTGGTTATTATGGGGTATTAGGGTGTGAGTTGTCCCGCTAACCCTGTCATCCAAAGGGATTGGACAAGGGGTTAGAGGAGTGTGTTTGCAGGGGTTCAGTAGACTTTGTGTGTCAGGGAGGATTTAGACTGACATTTGGTGCGGGGTGTTTAATGCCGAATGCGTGTATATGTGTGTGTAAGGGAGAAAGAGAGAGAGACAGAGCTGGTATTGGATTTTGATATGTGCTTTAGAATTACTTTACACATGTCTCGTCTTACCTCCCCTGACTTCACCTTTTGCGTGTCAGATTTTGTTAAAATACATGGTTTTATCACAAGGAGAGTTTACCATTGTCCAGATTAACGGTTTGCAAACTAAAGGTTACCTCAACCCTTTTGCATCAAGATGGTCAAGTGAGGTTGAAATGTGTTAATGTGTCAGTGCTCATGCATTTAAGTAAGTATGGTTCTTCTTGCTTCATACGAATATCTCTTTCTTTACAAAAGATCATTATAAAGGTAAACAAAAACCATGCAAGAAACCATCAATTAAGTTAATTCAAAAAGAATGAGCTAAACCTGTTAAGTACTACATGTTTTTTTTTCATTTATTCTTTTTTTTGTGCTCAATATGCATTAACACAACTTAAAAAATTCAGCATTTAAAATATGTCTCCATGGCAGACATCAAAAAACCTAAACAGTGACAAAACCAAAATGTTTTAGCTCACTTTTAGCTCAAATTAAAACCCATAAGAATTCAGTGTATCTTACATTTGCTACAGGATAGGCCCAATGAAAACCCTACACATTAAATCAATCTAGCGTAATAACATGTTTTGGCTGGACACCAATATTATCTCTGGCACAAACCATGTCCTGAATAATGAATATGAATTGTAACCATTACATCTGAGATACAGGGTGTTTCTCAATCGCGAGTAAAGCTGCTGCAGAGCCACTATTTCAAGCATACTACGTCATCGAGTGCCACCAAAGTACTGTTCCAATCTCCAGCATACTTGGAAATCTACCGAGCCCGGCGTACTCCGTTTGGAGAAATATCGAGTCTGCACATGAGTAGACTCCGCGGTCTTAAAATCCCCACAATGCTTTGCGCACGGACCAATTTCCCCAAATCTGTGACGGAAGATGTAAGGCGGGGCCTCTCATATGACGCACACCTGCACACTTGCTAGCCTGTTCCACTCTTCGTTTTCCGAATGCCAGGAAGTATTCTTGCCTCGCTTCTGAAGCAAGATGCTCGGCAGACATGTGCTACCAAGCAAGCGTACTCGCGATTGAGAAACACCCACAGGGTCCTAAAGTTGATACACTCTTTCTCTTTGCACCCGTATACCCTAAAATAAAATATGGAGTTTTATCCAGGATCAACAATACATTAAGGGGGCTTGATCATATTGTCTTCAGTGATTGTAATGTTTGTGTTAAAAGCTGTTTCCCTGTTCCTTGTCTTAGATATTTGGCTTTGTTGATGCTGCAAATGAAGTAGCTGTGATGCGAGAATAATGTCGGACTTGATCTGACAATAAGGTTCTTTGTATGGTAGATATTCAACAGAGAACACTGTTGGGGGTGGGAGTGATCAGAGTCTTTAAAGTAGTGAGCTTACTTTCAGGAGCAGACAGTCATTGTAAATCCTGTGGAGCCATGTCAGTAGAGAATATAAAACCCTCCTCACACAGACTCCAACCTTGTGTCTTTACATGTGGTTGCGCCTCCACACTAAGATTTTACACCATCAAAACTCACTGACCTTTATGAATACTGCAGCAGGGATTTGGAACAAAGCTAACACACACCAGCACACACACACACACACTCTCACTCTCGCCACCTCATCATCTCTTTATTACCTCTTGCTTCTTCTTCTTTTTTTACCTCCTATTTCCTCCCTCATTTGCCCCCACCTTACCCTGCTCTCCCTATAAACTCACTATTCTTAGACGGTCATTTCTCTCCATTCTCTTCCTTCACTTAATCCACAACCGCTCATTCCACCATCTTCCCTTTCTCTTTCGCCTGTCTGCTTGTACCTATAATCACAGCTGCCGCTACCCCTCTGCTTATATCTATCTTCTCTTCAACTCTTTTCCCTTCTTCTATTACTGTACCATTTTAGTTTTTTCTTCTGGGCACAGTAAGCTTGTTAGCAGCGGGTGGTGTGGTTTAGCTGGCAGCTGAGGGGCCAAGAAAGCCTGAGGATTAAAGGGCACCGTCTGAGTCGGGGAGGTAAGGTGCTAACGGGTGCTATATTACGGCCAAAAAGAAAAAAGGAAACCACCACACACATAGACACACAGGGACTCCTTTTACATTTATGCATATACTTAGATTTTCTTTCTTAGAGGATTAATACTATATTA